AATAGTTCTTTTTCAAAAGTTAGGAAAGGGATTTACTACTTAATTAAGTTTAAATGTAGGGTAATCACCGGTAACGAGCGAAGTTTTAGCCACAATGAATGTAATTAATCGGAAACTTTTTTCAACTTTGTCGCAACTCGTAATAGTGCAGTTCCAACTAAGGTTACTTTTTGTTAGACATCAAACAATGCCGATACTATTCATGCCGAGCAGATGGCGAATGGAAATTCAGCATCTGCTTCGGTGTAGTTGGACTCAGGGATACGGTGATTCGTTACGATGTAAATTATTATTATCTAATAGATCTTAATGTATTATACCTTACAAATATAGACTTCAAGCTTATTAAATCGTAGTATGTAGGTATATTACATGCGCGAAATCTTTTGTGTTAAACAAATCTAAGATTTCAAATCTTAAAACAGTTGCACAAATATACAATATAATAATAGTTTCTCCATTTAGAAGCCGTTTGATCTAGACGAAAATTTTTTTTTCGAATTTATAAAAAATATACATACTATTCTGGCTCTGTCCGTATGTATGGACGACGCTTGGAATTTCCATCAGATGGGCCGCACATAAGTATGCCTTTCTAGCTGGTTTTTTAGCTAATTGGAATGTCAAACAAGCTGACGGTTTACATAATGTTAAGCGATAAACGTCCTATATTCATGAACAGCAGTACGGAAATCACGTTATTATGAGACGCCTGGTATACGTTGCGATTCTGGAAGACTGATATATCATGCCTTTTACCCTATATTTCAGTACCCCAGTATGTCTGACTTACTCACGCAGACTTGCTTCTATATTCCGAAAATCTGCTGCCATTACTGTTGCATTCCATACGTTTCTAAATAATGAGATTACCACTGAACTTTTCTTCATTATGGTTTAACTGTTACATATCTTATGACTCTACAACGATCAGACTGTTGGTCAACAAACTAGCGTTAACTTTAACTTAAGAAAAAGAAATTTCAAATAAAAACGGACAAAAATAAATGGGTTCCAGTTCTGCGCTCCGGTAAAACTTATTGTATACAGTGGAAGTCAGTTGTGAATATATTTGCTGATTGCAGGTTATAGGATTTCTTCGCTGAGATTGTATCTAACAGTCAGTAGTTATAGGTTGAGATATATATTGTCTATTATTTGTATAGAAAATGATAAATTTTATTCATGTACTTAGCAATAATGGTTGTAGTATATTATGTACATTAATGTCTATAATCGTTCTAAATCAGCAATACATCAAACTATCTAAAGTTGAAAGTTGATGGTAAAGTTAACCACTAATTCGGCTTCAGTAATTTATATAATCCAAGTTATTCACTTCGTTTATTAAGCAGTGTCGAGATTAACACTGAGAGCTTAACGTAAGACGTGAACTCCTCACCCCCGTGCTCGTAGCCCCTCGTCACCTCCCCTAAACCCACGGAACCCGCGTGACGCCGACAGATAAGCTAATTACTTATTGTGATTTAGCAACCGGTTCTCGACGAATTTTTCATCAAATTTTCAGGCAACAATTGTGAATAATGAGTAGACGTCGTCCACCACAATGGCTGCAATTAACCGGACAATTTAACTTTTTAATTGCGAATTAAGAAACAGAGGAGTGCAAAGGTTGAACACGGTCTGTGGAATTAAATGTCAAGAAAGGTTTTTTGTCGCCGCCCGGTTTTGTTGCAGCTCTTAGAATGTTCATAATAAGGCGTTGTTATTAAAGCTCAGTTGCCTCACACAGGTGTTCATTAAGAGTTTTTTTTTCAACTGAAATGTTTTTAATGAAATCGTCTTGCTTTTCTTTGTTTATTACTTAAACGATTTTTTCAATTGCTTTAGTCTAAAAATAGTTTGAACTTAATTGTTTTTTGAAAATATATATCTGCAAATAATATATATGTATTATATATTATACAGAGTTGCACTTAAACTGACATATCGCCTTAGAAAGAAGATCGACGTTCCAATATGTAATTTCATATTGTCTTGAATTGCTAAGCTATTTGACGTTTAATTTACGTATGGTAATATGCTTACATAGACATTTTTGCTTATTTTATTCAGTGAGTGTCTAGAATTATTGCGTCATTAAAAACAATGTTTTGCAAATGATGATAAAAGATATAATCCTATATCTGCAATATTATAATTGTATCAATTGTTAGTTTCAAAGAATAAAATCACAGCTGGTATTTTAATGAGGCATCTACATATTCAACCTTTCCAATCTGTGCTCATTCTTTTTTGTTCAAAGTAAAGCTAACTCGAAGCAGGTAGTCGCTATAACAGAAATAAAATTTACTACAGTAACATCCTAATAAAATTATAACTTCAGAGATAAATCACATATACCCACGAAAGCCTACACAATTCAAAGTGTAAACTTAATATTTATTTACATGATGCTGACATGTAAGCAGTGCTGAGAAACTGTTCATAGTTAATAATATACAACACTCGGTCTTAGCTTTGCGTTAATCGGAATTTGGGAATGAACATAGACAATGTAAATATGACAATAGGAGTGAGAGCTAGGCTGGTTGGGACCTCATATCGGTGGAGTGCCACTCGCGAGATAACACAACGCGGCGTCTTTGTGAGCGGATGTAAAATTATTAAGCAACGGAATGCCATAAATGGGGTTTTGCGTTTCAATAGTAGGGGTTAAAGGCGAGTCCGCCCAACTACGTGATGTTTGATACGAAATCATCGTTTACGGAACGCAATTAACTCTCCAAGGTTTCATTAATATGTATTAAATTTATAGTTTTAACTATTAATAATTTCATGTTAATTTTAATATTGTATCAAATTTATTTAACAGCTTGGTTGAAGAAGTTTGCAATAATTACAGTTTACTTAATTGTTTTATTTTTGGTGTATTTAAAAAAAAGCTTTTGTAAGTCCAACGTAGCTGCAAACGAATGATAGTACGATGACATTAACGGAATTTACTGGTATTGATTGTTAAAAGTATATCGGCATTCGAGAACAAAGTAACCGCAAAGTAAACACCATTCAATTTTATTACGGAGAACAGAGTTCCTTTGAAAATCCCCGGGCGGCAATCCCGTAAATCTCTATTTGTCGCAACTAAAACAGGTCACGGCGGAAGGCTATTACGCTCCCTAAATGCTGCCGAACTCCCTGTAGAGCGCTCTAATCCACTTCGAACGGGCTGGTGTCAAACGCAGGCCAGGGTTGTTTGTATTGTTTATTGTCGCGACGCTCGTTCGTACGGCAAGGACGTCGTCGAAGGCACGGGACCATGTTTCAATTGATAGAGCGCAACCGTCTCCCAAGTGAACTATTATACTCTTGCCCGCAGGCGTTACTTATCCTAACTCAACGTCTTACCTTTCCTTATAAATCTGTCACAGATAGTATTGAAATTAGTCAAATTTATGATATACAAAGTTTAAATAATACTACATACAGAATAGATACAATGCAATAGTAAAAATATGCTTTTCTTGGGCAGTTGAGCGAGAAACTGCCGATACAGCTCATTACACCGGTTTATGCATGAGCAATGGATCCATTTGACAAGATATCTACATATTATTTATTTTCAGTTCTCATTTGAAATTGGATATAAATATACGAAATAGGTTCCTGCTGGGCTATTTATTTTTATAAGAATTGGTAAAGTCTGACGTTACATTTATACATTACAACGAACAGAGAACGATTAATACCCTTGATTATTCCGTCTAGCTTTGCAAACTATGACCATATTTGAAATAGATTGTATGCAAATCATACGTTATGAGAAAACCGTTTAGTCAGCATAAAGTTTTTGCTGTAGTTCGACGTTCGGGCGTAGATGAATAAAAAGTGTCGAAGAGTGAACAGAATGGAACAAAACACTTGAAACAATATCGCGACAGAGCGGCAATCATTTCTGTTTTATCTCAGTTTGCGCACGCTGTGCCGCGGAAACTGGTGTAATAAAAAACCACCACGTGTACCTACTCGTACCTATATATGGCAAAGGTATGCAGCTGCATAGGTGTTATGTATCAGTGCAGTGCTGCACCTGTCGTATTTTATAAGACTTTTCCTTCTGTCGCAGTGGAGAATAGCATACGCTTTCTAGAAAATATTGTGGTAACTTATTAAAATGCTTACGCTAGAAGGAAATTGTGGAAAATACATCTAGTAGACTGTTATATATTCCGTGATATAAAATAGATTATAGAGAATGTATTTGCATATGTGTGACTGAAAGATGTAAAGACGAAAATATCTGATTTCAGACTTGTATTGAATCAAGTAGTACCAAGTGTACTTTGTGTTAATTTTAACTAACTAACTACTAAAAGAAGAACAATACCGGAAATAACAAATTCCTTGACATCTAAAGTGTAGACTGCAGTTTAGTTAAAAGTCAATTAACTTATAAAGTGTTATATTCAGGCTGACTTGCTTATTGTTACTACTGAAACTTAATAAATAAAAATAAAATAAAATAAATTAACGTAGATATTACGTAAACCCTTTGTAAATGGAAAGTTACTACCAAATTGTTGTTATAACTAAAACTACAATCGTAAATGCATTAAACTAAAAGGTAAAACTATGAGTTTAAAAAATAAAGACTATTAAAAAACGGAGTTGAGTAAATAAAATATGTTCATAGATACCGTGAATCTCTGTTGTCTCTCAATAGACAATACAGATATATATCTATAGTTAAACAATTAGCTCACTCAAAATAATTTCTTCATAAAGAATCCAACTGTTTGGAATTATTGAAATATTACCAGTATATTTTGAACTAAAATTATTCAATTTTCAATCTACTAACCTAATTTTCGATCAAATACACTTGCTATTATATAATGCGTGACAATGAAATTTGTTTTAAATATTTCAATGTATTTTGCAATATTCATATTCTTTCTGTTTTACAACACACAACAACGTATGATTTATGCCTCCTGTAAAAAATTTATAGTCACACTATAATTTATTATTTGTTGCAGATTTGTTGGGAGTGAAAATATTGCAAAGAATAATATAATATGGTAACTGTAAATATGGAACCGAGACAATAATAAAGTTATTATTTACAAGATTGTGACAATAAAGAAATGTGAGATGTTAGTGGAGGCTGTATTGGTATCAGATGTCTTTTGACATGATGACGTCGGAATCATCGAGGCGCAGCAGGGCCGTTTCCATGGAAACTGGAGGGCTACCGTTGGTGTCAACATTTGCATTACTTACTATAGTTGCAGGTAAGAAATTATTTAGCTCACAAATAAAATAATATATTAATAATAATATTTTATTTATTTCTCCTCACAAAGATTGTACACACTGGGAACAGATACATGTAGTATTTTAGATAATACATTGCATAGATTTATCATTACAATCAATTGTTTTGAGAAGCTGGTGTCTGAAATAGGTTACAACCTGTAATACAGATCACCAGGCCCTCAAACCGAAAAACAAGTGATATACTTTAAATAAATTAAAATGCTTATACTAAAAATGTTATTTCGAAATAATAATAATAGATATGTACAATTTACACCTCCAATCCTAAAGCCTAACCTTAAGCTAAGCAGAGCTTGTGTTTTTTTTATATAGTAAAGTATAATAATATCTGTAGCTTTCTTAGTGACGACATCCTTTTTGCTTATGTTTTCTTCCTATATGTGTGTTCCTCAGTTTTTTTTTATTTTCTATTTTTTGTATTAGGGGTGTTGCACCACTGTTGGAAATACTTGTTATTCCTTTTTATTGCATACATAATAGTCGGCATAGCATTTAAAAATCGATATATCCATCCTACTATAATAAATATATGTATATGGGTATTGTACATATTTTTAGACAGTCGTTGATCGGTTTATAAATCCCTAATATTTTTATTTTTAATAGGTATTTCTAAACTCTTACTCTAACCTTTCAAATAAAAAAAATAGATAATAATATTTTATACAAACGTCATTGTTCTTGTATAGGTAATAATTCTTTCATTACATAATATATCTACCATTTCTTCCTAAAAAAACCGTTTTACTATAATCATACTAACAGCGTTACAAATTCATAACTAAATAATTTGTGTATAATTTATGAAAATATAATGATATGTTCGTACATGAGAAGAAATGAGAAAGTTCATTCACAGATCCTAATTAAGGCGTCTCTCTGTGGGAAAATTTGGTAACTAATATTGAATGCAGCTTTCATATACTGTAAATTAACGCTACTCACTCTAATATTTGGATAGTTGTACCTACTAAACACGCTAATGGACAGCCTGATGAAAAGCTTAATATCCTGTTCGGTGCCTCGACCAACTCTTTGAGGGAATTAATTTTCTCTGAATAAACTAATGCTCATAAAATGTTGCCTAAAAGTCACTCGCTAAAATTTTCAACGTTCCTCGAATCCTTTCCAGATTATGCAAAATTATTTCTCGTTTCAGCATTAAACAGTCATTAATGACTTCTAAGTTATGTGTCGTAAAGGAATGAGGCTATTATATTTTAAGGATAAATTATAAGCATTATTTTTAAAAGTTATTCGATCCATGTATACAAAACAAAGGTTCCTATACATTAAATATAAATATAGGAAACAAAAAAAAGTTGTGTAAAATGAGCAAATAAACTTCCTTCGTTGATATTTTATATAAAAATATTTTTATTAAGTTATTGTGCCAATACAAAATATAACATCTTTCATCGTATGTATGTATATGTTTATGTTTGTGTGAAATAAACATATCGTTACGTGTATACGGTATGTTTGTAAAATTAAAGCCCAACGCAAATTGTTGCACTTTAACCATTATCTGATGGGTGCAGTGGTAATACTCGAGATTCCTCTACGTACCCACGCAAGGAATCCGCACAAAAGAAAGAATTCAAGCATGAATTGCAAATATTTTCTTTTAATTGGAGCTTGGTGGATTTGCGTTTAATGTACATTATTGCACTGAAAAATATGATTATGGGTAGTTCTATATTATGTTTTGAATATTTATTAAATATAGGTACATTCTTTATATTTAATGGATGGCCAAGTGTTTATTTATGTATTATATTTGTATGTATTAAGGATAATGACTCTATCTGTCCTCTCTCAGTATATAGCTTTAAAACTCAATAATAATCAAAAGAAATAGATATATTTATATAAAGTCAAGTGTATTACATAAATTCATTAGCAAAATTAGCAACTATATAGTAGTTATTACACAAATGTAGCTGGTATTTCTGGCAATCATTTGATTTATTATGTGAAAATCAACCGTATCACGAGCAATGTATTTAATGCAATTCCATCAGGATGTAATTACAGATCGCATTGAGCGTGAAACACTAAATAATAGAAATACATAATTCAATCCATACGCAAATTATTATTTTGACATTCTGTTTTCTGGCATATTGTAATTCTAATGAATAGTTGTACTATTATGTGCCCAGCGTTACTACCGTTAGGATAACGATAAGATTTTCTTGAGCATACAAAACAATTACAATAACAATACTATGTGTCAGACGTGTATTACGTAAACTAGATTATATATCGCAATATGCAAATCCTAATAGATAACCTGGACTGTTTTTCATGTTGGCTCTAATTTTGCAAACTATTTTTATTCCAACAAATTTGTTAATTAATTGTTTTTATACACTTATATTAAGGCAGTTCTTTAATACCGTATAGCATTTATCAAGTATAGTCAGTGTACTGTAGTGGAAAAAATATTTTTAAAAATAAAATATTAAATGATATTAAAATTAAAATATATACCTACGTAGTTTTTAGAAACGGATATAAACGAGGTCAGCGGTCGACGAAGTTCATTGCAAGCTACTAGCCTCTGAGTTATTAATTTTCATTTGACGCGGATAAAGGCTTATGGCTGCTCTATGAATGTCCTTAGTCTTTTGTGACATACCAAGAGGCAGACAAATTTTATTTTAATACGACTCTCATATCTGCGTAAAAAAATGTTCAATAAGAAATATTCTGAATACAAGTGTGGTAAATGCTTATGAAAAAAATGTGTCACCAATGTTGTTCATTTAAAAATTCAAAGAGAAATAGGGTAAAATATATGTTAATCAGTTGTGATGATGATGTGTAGGTTAATATTTTTGTTGACCTTAACCTCTTTTAACAGAACTTATAATATAAAAATGTAATTAAATAACTAAACAATATCTATATTTAATAGTAAATATAAAACAAAATCACGGTTTTCGTCGGGTTCTTTTCTACTTACTTGTACACTATGTATTTTAATATTTTTTATACTTAAATATCAGGAAATTCTTTCTGAAGTTTTATATGTATAATACACTAGCTGTTTTTTTCGTCTTCTTCTGCTTTTTTTTGAGATACTAGATTACCTATGTCCGTAATCGTGATACGATCTATTTTTAAAGCTAATTTCATTAAGATACGATCAGAGGCTTAGTAGTGAAAACAGAAAGACAGAGGCACACTTCTGCATTTATATTATTAAGAATAACATATGTCATAAGCCTCCGTCACACAAATCATACATCCATACAAAGCCAAGGTTGACAGATAGTTTTCATTAAATATAAAAAAGCCCAGTTGATCCTGTTTTAATGAACGTTTGCGATCAATAACCGTAGCTACGCGGCATTTCTACTCGCATATGGGTACCTCATACATTACAAATAAAAATTAGGTCGCGCTGAGACAATCACCGGCGGCTGCTCCAGTATCGGGGTGTTATTAATTTTCATTTGACACAGTCGGCCTGCTACGCGTACCTACTACGAGAGACACGGTCGTGACAAAGAGCGCCTCACTGTAACAGCCCTATTTACTTATTTTTTACATAGTCATAAGTTTTAATATTATTTATTTCTTGCAGTATCACAAAATATGAAGTACATTATACAGAGTGTGGTTAAGTTGCTACAATTATTATGTGACGCCTTGAAAGGGCATAGAAATATTGGTACAGAATCTTACAATATTATAATTATGTATGTTAAGTTTAAAATTATTGGATCTATTATTATATAATTATATATATTAAAATGTCCTATTCCATAAATAATAAACGTACATTGTATAAAAATTATTATAAAAGTCGTGTATTTAGTTACTTATAAACTAAATTATGTGAATTATTTCAAAATCAATCAGGCATTAATTTGCTTTTAAACACATAAATTATTGCTTAACAAATTAAATACCAAACTTGAAACATCGTAGACTAAACTGCTATAGTTCATTTTGAAATAATTTATTCATTTTGAGATATATTAATCCAAGTTTAATAAAACCCAAGTTAAAAAACAAGGAAATTATAGATTTCGTTCACGTTATTTTTAATTTAATTTCCATACATTATATATGCTTATAAAATAAATAGAGATTGATATGTAGAATTAATGGTTACGTCTGCCATAGGGTAATTTCTTGTCGCAGTCTTTAATAGGTACAAATTATCAGCTATGACAATGAATCAATTATGAAAAAAGAATGCATTTAGAATGTAATATCAATAATTGTGTATTATTACTATTAAGAACTCTTCTATATAGGAAATAACTATTCAAATACAAGCATGTAAGTCCTAAAATTAATATCATATCGATATATAGTGTAATATATAATCACAATCAATACAGTCGACATATATCTTACTACTGAACATAAACTGTTATATGTAAGTTGTTAAATTATTGCATATTTACTATGTCTATCCTTATCTACATATATACCCGGTATAACACAGTATTAACATTAATTACTGAGACGCATGCCGATGTATTCCGAGTAAGCTGACAGTATCATTTGAGGCTCTTAATTAGATTTAGTTCAGGTAACTAATTAGTAAACACAAAATGTCGCTTCAAAATTCGAAAACCACAGACGCTTCTGTTTTATTTGTCACGATCTTGATTAAATATACTTAATTAAATAGAACGCAGAAGAAGCAAATAACGAACATTTTGTTTTTATTACAAAAATATTACTCAACGACCTAGATTGTTTGCAATGTGAATTTCATGGAGCTGATAACGAATAATTGTTAATTGAATTTCATTATGTCGCGGTGAAGATATCTATTGATTTTATGCATATTTATTTAAATGTCTATTAAGTATCTGTCATTTAATGATGTAATGTACCTAGTAATGTATCTAGTGATAAACGTAAAAGCGATTTTGTTTGTTTGTTAGCTCATGGTGCCTGATAACTTTCTTTTTAACTGTTGCAAAATTTGATGTGTTCTTTGCATCTTTATGCAGAGAGAAATATCCTACTTATTTATAGTCAAAAGATTTTTTTACAAATAAGTTTCGGATAAAAACTTGTAATCGGTTTATATTACATATACTAGCTTCTTCTAGGTTTTTTCTTCCCACGGTTTTTATGCGCGGTGTCATTATGATAAAAATATCAGGAAACTTTTTCTGACAGATGATAACAATATAACAACCAAAATATTTTCCAAATTACAAATTTAATAGACTATATGCATTTATAGTTAGAATAGATAGATAATAATTGTGTCGAGTAAATATTCTGTGAGTATATGCGAGTGTGCATATGCCTTTATATAGCAGCAGGCTTTCCGATACTGTTTCGAAAAATAGTGTTGTGTTGCAGGGAATCGGGAGAATCGCACGAGATTATCTCGAATGGCTGGAATAGGAATTTACTATGCATGAAATGGGGTCGTTGAAAGTTATCTATATAAATAGAAGAAATAAAAACGTTCTTATCCTCGGAAATGGGAATGTACCTAATGCTTAATTTTAAAAGGTTACAGCAATAATTTTAGATATTAAATACGCAGGATAGTCTACAAAGACAGTAATAAATATGACCTCTGATGATCTGATTTTAAACAAAATTAATTATTTAAGAGTGAATTATTTTATTCTGATTTTACCTATATAGATTTCAAGTCTACTATGTCTTCTGGAAAGTGAGTAGTCAAAGGCATAGTTATCAACATTGTGGTGAATGTTGCTGTTTGTAATGTAATGTATGTAATTTTATGAAGGTTTTAACATTAAAAATAATAAATACTAATTATTTCAATTATATATGTCTTATTGTAATAAGCGAACTGTCATCGTTACACACAAAAGAATAGATAAATTTCTACAACAAAAAATTATGTCATATACTACTACCAACTACCCACCCTGACTTCGCACGGGTGTACATGTATTATACAAATAAAACTTCTTCTTGAATCACTATCTATTAAAAAAAACCGCTTCAAAATCCGTTGCGTAGTTTTAAAGATTTAAGCATACATAGGGACAGACAGGGACAGCGACAGCTACTTTGTTTTATACTATGTAATGATGATAATAAAAAAATAAGTATTACACAATGATATCAATTATATTTAAGGTAAAATATTCAATTTATATTTATAGTATTACTCAGTAAAACTGTATAGTTAACTGGAAACCCTAATTTGTTCATAAACAATTCCAATGCGGTTAGGGGCTTTGTACTCGAAAATTTATTCTGCGGTTTTAATAGATTCCGTTAATTGATCCACCAATCAATAGTTAATTTATTATAACATGTGAATTGAAACAGTATCTAATAAACAATATTAAATTATAATTGAAAAATTATTAAATATTAAAAAATAAAGTATAGTTAAGAAATGCATAATAAACTCAAATTATAAGCTACTATAACGACACATTAATGATCTACTGTGGGATATTTATGTTTTCCTATAAAAGAAAAATTTTAGACTATCCTGTCCAATCGTTTACATACGGTTTTGAGCTGAGTTTTTTCCTCTAGCTCTGGTGTTACGGATGTTGATATTTTATAACAATCAGGAGATAAAAAACGTAAAATTGTCAGGTTTTTATTATTACCTTTGAACTCAATGGACTTACAGTTACTGTTAAACATCATTATTAAATTTTTATTATTTTTTATTAAGTTTTTGTATGATTGACAAATTATTGTATAAAAATGGTAATAAATTTTTAATCGAAAAATATGACAAGGCAATGACAAAGATATTTAATGAAGATATAAGTTATTAAATTGATACATTATACGCAACGAGTGAAGAATTTTAGGTCACTGCAAATGTGAAAAATTTATTTAATCCGCGCTTCACATTAGGCGAATTGGACGAAAATATTCGACGTTCCGAACTCCCGCACGGTGCCATTAATCGTTTTGATGTCACAGTATGGGACATTTAGTGTGACCCTTTTTATGCGCCAAACCTTGTCCGATTTACGTCCCTAATCGCCAAATACCGAATGCCGAAAACCGAATCGGGGTGTTCATCGGTTGGCCGCATTTAAATGGCAGATACTAATCGCCGCCTGTTCATTGTGGAGGGCCGTACAAATAACGCTTTAGAACATAATCATTTGTATGCATTAATGTACGCATCATCTATTACTACATACCTATACATCTACTGGTTTTGCGTTATTTACAGAACAACATAAAACTAATATGAATACTATACTAAAATCTAATAAATAATAAGAAGAACATTCGGAACCTGATGGTATAGAAGATAGATAAAAATCGTCACGTATGTCTCCCATCGGAGTAGGACTGCCTACTGCAGGAATACAGGAATAGATGAATTACATAAGTACACATAGCATTTGTCTAAAATAGAGGTTAATTCAGTAAGATTTCGTTTGACGACTAGCGTAAATAATTTTGAAACATTATCAATCAATTCATTTAAATGCTATCCTTTGTTCTTAATTATTAAGTGTTATCTTTGCTCTTGACGATTCACTGGTCACCATAATTTCACTTCTATGTAATCCCTTAAGGAATTTCTCACCCCACTTGACACGTAGATAGGTATTTATGCTTTACTAGCAGTCCCGGCTACACGTTGCTGTGGCTAAGGTTCTTGAATAAAATAATATTGCGACTATAAATTGACATGTAAGCTATCCTATCTTTCAAGTTGGATCAAATTGCACGCAATGTTCAAATTTGTAAACGGTTCAACAGTTTAGGAGTCCATTGCGGACAAACAACGTCACACGTAATTTTTATATATAAAGATTTTCTTACCTGTTTTTTTACACTACAATATTATAGAAGTATTTAATATTATTAATATTTCTATAATAACGTATTCTGACATGATTTCATCATATTTGTAACTATACAAATTAATATATTTATTTGTAGGAGAAAAAACAGTAGGTACCTAGCGCGTAATTTTACTGCTAAAAAAACCTTAGCGATAAGTTTTATTGAAAATTAAATCTTATATTTACGAATTAATTATTCAGAATATAAAATATTTAATAAAGCAATTTTCCTTTCCTTATTCTCATCGAATAGCATTTTCATTGTGTGGATATTTCGTTTAATTTTGGGAATTTTGTCATTAAATATCAACTCCGTTCTGGTTATCCATTACTAAAACTACAACCAAAACTAACATTTACCGAGTGAGGTTACATAATTTACCTACTACAAGACAGGTCAACAGTTTTAACTTACATAAACACAAGGCAACCTCAGAAGCAAAAGCGTACTGGAGCTAACGTAGATAATTTAACCAGAATTTGTTTACATATCTTACATCTATATAATTAAAAGGATTCATTCTATATTCATTTATAAATGAACAATCAATACGGTTCATCAGAAAGGCTTTTAATAGTCATTGTGAGTACCACAATAATTGGTACCTACGAATAGAAAGATTTGTTTAATAAAACCTCAAAGCTGTAGAATTCCGGGATATCAGCAATTTCCCACTTTTGTTTGTACAAACCTGACCCAATTTATCCAATTTAAAATGCCAATTCGATCTGTATTTCTTCTGATTGCGTTTGGTTACCGCTGAGAATAAAGCTGATACGACTATTTGCATTATCGAGATATGCCCGTTAATCGAATTCACTCAATATTTAAAAAAAAACATATTAACTCACTTTTATACGTTTAACAATGTAACCATTTATTTTGGTTTCTAAATTACCTGTTTTTGATATTGTAATAAAAAACATCGGTGTAATTATTTTGGAATGAAACTACTTTTGGTTATGATGTAATATTATTAGAAATCATATTAGTTAATATAAATTAAAATAATATACATGGTGGCCTTTCGAATTCCGTCTACTATAATATTATTTTCCGTTGCCGGTTCTTTGATCTGGCTGGTCAATTGTAGTTTTTTATGAATTTATTATTTATTTCACTGTTGTATTTTTTTTATTACATTGCAATTTAGCTTACTCTTCGGAATATGATAACGTAATAGTACTCCACAGTGAGGAATGAAATAATGAGGATTTAGCCCGACTTACCTAGAAAGAGGGTGTCGTGGTTGGGCAGAACACTAACGGTTCTTCTAAGCATCTTGGAGCTTCTTACATGAACAGCATAGTGTAAATAATCAAGATAAATGGTGATAGAATAGTGAAAAGTTAGGATTGTTTTCATTTAATTTGTTATCTATATACCTAAATGTACTAAAACATAATAATATTTATTACCAAGAATCCGAGATCTACATATATGTATTGAGCTGTATAGTGTTGCATTACTATGACTTGGATTAGATATATGAATCTCATCTAGTTGAGTGCTAATATACACTAGTCAGCACAGTGGTTTCCCTCGAGGCGGTTTACCCTAGTAATTCGTGATCTATCAGATCGTTTACCATTTTCTATTATACAATACCTACTGTTTATCGAGTGTTCCCAATTCATTTATAAGTATATATTTGTTTTTGTTATTAAAAATACCTCATTTCTTTCAGGTCACCTTCAAGGGTCTGGGTATAGTGAACCTGAGCCTGAGTTCCTGTCACCCTTGGAAAATTTAACAGTGGCTATGGGCAGAGATGTTCACTTTACTTGCATTGTGAACCATCTTGGTTCATATAAGGTACAATATTTGTTTGTTTACAATTGTAAAATGAAAAGTAATTGTTATAGATTTATACCATTATACATAAACTAATATTAAACAAAAGACAGCTACTATTACCTATCGAATACTAACAACTGTTATACTGATTATCACTCTTTTACAAAAATAATATCTGAATTTTCATGGCTTTCAATGCCTTTAATTAACTTACACAAATTACCGTCTACTTTGAAATTTGAAGTTACGTTTACTGTAAACTCCTCATCTTAGGTATACGCTTCCTCTACAAGCCTTGATTTTGTCTACTTTATGCTACCTTTATTAAATTTCTTTATAATAGCAATCTAGTGCTCTAAAGATCACTCTTTTAACTTTTTTATCTTCTCAGTTTTTTATGTCTATAACAATCTGCTTGTTATATCTAACTATTTATATTTATTAGACGCACTTCTTCAACATATAATAATGAATTAACCAGGTGGCGTGGATCAAATCCGACACAAAGATGATCCTCGCTATACACACGCATATGGTCAACTTGAACCCTCGTCTGTCTGTCACACACAACGGCCACAACACTTGGAAACTGTACATCAGTAACGTGGAACCAAAGGACTCCGGTTCCTATATGTGCCAAGTTAATACAGACCCTATGATGAGTCAGGTAAGTGTTCATTTAAATTATAGAAATATGTAATGTTTTGTACGTTTACACAATGACTTGAGAATAGAGAACTTTTATGTTTTATATGATTTATATATAATATTTTACTACGAATATATTGTATTTAATAAAAGGAAAATATAACTTACTAATATGTATGAATATAAAAACAAAAATCTTTGTTAAAAACTTATGTTCTTTACTTTTTAAAATAAGTAAAAAACATAAGTTTTCTCTGTCTAATACAAGATTGTAATTTTAAATTAGCAATATACCCAATTCATTCAAAAATGTATAAAGTATTATCTTTTACAATTTGGATTTTTTAGGCTTTTTAATTTTAGGTTCTTATTTGTACAATTAGGTTATGTAAATAAATTGATAATATTTAGTTATTTCGATTTTATATCTAAATATTAATTTTGGAATATGTTTTAATTATATTTTAATCGCTATTTTTAATACCACGATGACTGCAATTTACCATATGGTCGATCTGATGGTAAACAGTAAACAGTATTTTGTGAAACACTTCCTTACCACTTACCACTCAGTTAAAATTATATCAAATTATACTCTGAACTATTTACATTATTTTTATTATACACACACCGCACAGACAATCACCAATAATATTGCTCTTTTTATTTTAATTATTATTTTCACGTACCCTCAAATGGGTTAAAGCTGAAAATCAGTGTTTTGTTCCCTGAACATTGTTCCACGCTGAGCTTCGACCTTTTTGTTTTGCTACAGATCACACATAATAACACAATTTTATAAATCTTATGTTGTATTATGTATTGTCTATTCTTATGAACATGTTGTGTGTGATTAGTGACAAACAAATAAACGATATATCTATCTATCTATCTATCTAAACAAGATTTTTTTTCATTTTTCACAGGAAGAAATATTATCCTAAATAAAAAAGCTTCACTATCATTGAATTAGAAGTATGGTGGCCATATCGAATTGTAATCACGGTTGGCTTCTGTATAGTGGCTACGACGCCGCGCCGTGCCATGTCCGATATTAAAATTTATGCAATCGATACCGCGGCAGCTTGCATCAAAAGCTGCACTCTGTGTCACGCGCCAAACGCTCTGAATATATTGAATATCGTTTACCTACTTGCCTTATGTCAAATTATAGAAATAAAGAACATCATTTAAATATATGCTTATATTTGTATGTATGCTTCAATATATATTTAGATAATACCTATCTAATGTTATATTACAAATTTAATAAGCATTATTGGCATTGGAAAATACAGGCTAATATTATATGATTTTAAAAATATGTATACATTATTTCCTTTGAATATTAAATTTACATATATGCATATAAACAATAAGAAAGCACATGATAGCATTTATATCTATCTACGTACTCGTATATTATTGATTAAGGGTAAATAAACAGCACGGAGTAGACGTCATCTATTTGTCTTATTTCGATTTAATTTCGCATGCTGGCTTATCAACAAGCCAGCATTCTCGTCATTTTCAATTTCTGTCATGCAATAACTTTCTATACGTGGATTATTGTGTTTTGGTACGAACACAGTGTATATATGTACCTTTGTAAAAGAGGCTTATAGACTCGTCTCCAGGCATCGTGTTAGGTAAACATTATATTTTGTGATATTCGCTGTTATTTCCATACCAATAGACAGACCGTGTCAAATATACCTACTTTAAGAAGGTCCAATTTTCTCTGTAACATATTACATCTTATACAGTGTCAGTTTCTCCTCCGTATATAGTTTTTAGTTCATGTTTATCTAAAATTGCGATTTACATTAAAACAAAAAAGTTATATTTAAATGGAAGCTTAAATTTAATTTCTTTATCACAAAAATCCAATTAACTATTACCCATAGTGATTTGTTATTAACTTTTATATTAAGAAAATAACTTCAAATGAAAGAATTTTTCAAATGCTCAAATAGTTTTATTAGACGTTTGAAATATAAATAAACTACTTATTCATCATATTAAGATCATCATTGTAGTTGTATAAATAAGAAATGTAATAATAAAGGTGCGCTCTAAACTCCATTCTCCACTCGTAAATACCAGTCAAAATAGAAGCGGTGACACCTATTAAGTTATTTACATCGTGGCTCGTGGGAGTCCGAATGGCGGTGTGGTTCCCGGGTGGAATTTTGTCAAGTCGCTCACGGAATGCACCCGTTTACCAAACACTGTGTGGGAAGGGTGGAATCTCACCGCAACATCTTCATGCGACAGAGTCAACTTTCCAAATGTTTAACGTGACAACTGTTTACATTTACCGTTGCCGCGCACCTACCGAAAGTTACGTTTGTGCGACATTGTTTTTGCGAGCCGGGCATTTATGTCGACATAGCTGAATATCTGCACAAAAGATCTTGAAATTCAGATCTTTCCGAGCGTCTGTTGTGTAAAAATGAATCTTTATTTTAATATTAATTAATTTTATAACGAATATGTGAATAAAAACGGATGTATCTACTTGTATAATAATCTATACTGAATCTATAGATAGAGAAATGAAAAGAGATATTTTAATGTATGCAATTATTTTTTAAATGGAGTAATTAATTCGGCGAATGAACGGCAGCTAATGGTTTGTCAACCAAAGTCAAATACACAATTATAGGATGTGAGTTTAAACACAAAATAATGTAGTAATTTATATTTGAAACTGACTGTCTGATTAAAGTAACATCGATATAAAACTACAAGAGTGACGGCGATAGGCCTTCCCCTGCTTCGATAAATTCAGATATACCTGTGGTTATACACAGCTAAATGTTATGTGTTGCATTCACCATAACTACGAATATTCCCTGTTAACTTATTTAAGTAACCTTCACTAAGACTCGACGAAATTCAATGATAATTTTTGTGTTGGGGTTTAATGAAATGTTAGTTCTATTAAAATATCGTATATTTTTGTCTTAAATTATTTTTAAGATGAAAATCTTACTGTATTTTATTGTTGAATATAATATAACCGTAACAAGATATTGCATGTTGGAAATATATTTTTCTTTCTGTGGCAATGTAAAGCTTTTTTTTTTTTTTTTTATATTTAAATACATTTTTCCACAGACATATTCGTCCGTGCCTTTTTTAATTTACTTTAATATTATTATATTTATTTAATTTACATTTTTGTACAACTCCAGCCGAGATGTTACAATTTGCCTAACAGTGACACCGAGGCAGACCTTATCCGTCTGGCCCAGAACCACCGCTGGCCGGCCGGGTGAGTTGACAACATGCAGTGTCACCCATCTTTATTTGGAAGATTAGATTTATCAATATGCATATACAATTATATAAATCTTACACTACTACTAATTTCACAGTTTTCATTACATTGTGCAATGTAAGAATTCATAATGTAACAATACACATTATGAATTCTTACACTGCATATACAATTATATGAAATCTTATTCTAACACTATTTTCAAAGTTCACTATTTGTTATAGTCCAGGTTTTGTTTAATTATTGATTGTTTAATTTCACAGTTCACTTTTTGTCGTAATTCGGCAATTTTTTTTTTTTTTTTTTCCCTTTTTCACTTCCCTTTCCCCTTCTTTCTTTCTTTCTTTTTTCCTTCCTTCTCCTTTTCTTTCTCTTCTTTTTTTTTTTTTTTTTTTATACTTTTAGCGAGCATGTTCCGGCCTTTCCAGTCCAAAGCGCCCCGACGATGCATCAGCTGTTCTGGTTTTCTTTGTGCTGATTATTTTAGCGCAATCAGCGCATCAACGATCGCCCTGTCTCTATTTTTAATCGCCATCTGCAGTGAGTACTCACGAATGTCCGAGTGAGTCGCGCCTTCGGCCTCTTGTATAAAACGAGCAACTGCGTCTTCTCGATTTCTCGTATAATATACGCAGTCGCCTGTGTGCCTGGTGATGGCTACCACGGCATGAGAGTAGCTGCCATGCACTTCCAAGGGTTTACTTCTAGTATTGATGATAATAACCCTCTCCGATGTCAGTCCCTGGGCCTCATGAATCGTCAGCACTTTAGACTCCTCGTCCATTCCATATCCCTCGGATATTAGCTTTGCTTTCTCCGCTTGGGTATGAACCAGGTATAGAGTCCTGCTTTGGTCCGATGGTATGACTTTGCTGTCGTATTCCATGAGCCTCAGCGACCTAATCCGGAGGTTGGTCGAGTATATCCCGTTGTATACTTCTCTCAGGGCATACGCTACATCCAAGGGGTTTCTGTGAGTACATAGAAACTCCCTAGTAATACCTGCTGATTTGTTAGGTCGCTCGTAGGTAATTTCAAATAGGTTATGCCTATCTATAAAGGGGAGTTGATTTACGTCGCCAATAAGCAGGACATCTTTTGCTTTGGCCATTTCTGCTGCTAGCACTATGGCCCCAAAGTGGTTCATAAGGGCTTCATCCACTAGGATGCGGGACACATTTGTATTGTCCCTTTTGCCGTTAACCAACAAAGAGGCCATTGTTCTCACCCTTTCTCCTGTGTTTTTCGTTGTCTTGGCTTCCAGCTTGTTCCTTAGATCCTTGGCCGCTTCCACGGTGGTTGTGACAATCATGTCCTTTTTGTGGTCGTAGTTGTTGATGATCCACGTAGTCTTCCCGCATCCCGGGACGCCGTTTATCCACTCGATATTTGGGATGTTCCACGCTTCAAAGGATATGTCCCCGGTCAAGTCCCTGCACCTCGCATCAGCTTGGCTCAGGATCCTGTCGTCCAACATAATCCTTGTGCATGCCGCAACCAACAGGATATTATCCTGTGGGGGTGCGCGGAAACTCGGCTTCCCGGTTTTCCTAGTCTCCTCCGCGTCCAGCGTGACGAACCCCACGGACTCGCAGTATGCCGCCATGTATTTACCAGTATATGCCCCTAACATTGTGGTCTGTGTGTTGTTGTCATACAAGGCGGCGTCCTCCCTGTCCAGTTCGTCGACAATCGCATCATCACCACCCTTCTTGTATTTTTTTATTAATTTA